GATCCAACGCCCGGACTGTTGATTCTGTCAGTGATCTCTTTAAGAGGTTGTCTCACGAGTGAATGTGTATCCAATTTACGACCAGCACTGGGAAGTTTGAGACATGCTCTGGGAAGTTTGAGACATGTTCTGGATATATCGAAACCTCCACCACCGGCTTGTAGTGGCGAATCCGATAGCGGATTGAACCCCGCGCTAAGCAATTTACGACTTCCATCGGGGTTTGTAGTCTTCACTCTCGTCGTAAACTGCATAGTATCCTGACTGTCGATGTTTTCTTTGCCTATTCCGTACGTGTTTGTGTTTACTTTGTCTGATGAATATGTGTTCGTGTCAATGGGCGCAGCTGTGGTGGTATTTTTAGAAATCGACCCTGTGCTATGTTTAGACATTGGCTCCTTGCTGTCAGCTAGGGTGCTCACGGCATGGTGCTGGCCCGCGCGTGTGGTGGTAGGGTCTGAAGACATGATCTGCAGATATCTCAGGGAAAATGATCGCTGTGTGAGATTGTTTTCTGTTCTATATCAATGTATATACGACTAGATAAATATGAATATACATATTCTGCATGATCCATATGATCGTGTAGGCTACGACCTATAGACGATTTTGGATTAGAAGACATTGTTCCAAACACAATTGCACGGTTGTCTATTCCATGAAATCAAGAGGTCTTGGCTTCTTGCTAATATGTTTATCTGTGTAAAAGTCCAAGTTGATATCTTACGGCCAGTCTTTGTAGACAAACAACTTGTAATTATGGATTCTTGGATTACACCGAGAAAAGTATTTAGACGAATGGAATCAGGATCTGCCTTCATTGAGATATATCAATATACACACACGTCCTATGAAGCTTGGCCAATCCTTTTCACGCAGGTAGCAATTTCTTTCGCCTGATCATCCGGGATTGTCGATGTACTGTTTAAGATGGACAAGTTGCTACACATATGCAGCGAAATGACCAAGTTTCTAAGGATATCCACTATAACTATTTTCAATTACCAGGTTGCACCAAGGAGGTAGCGGCGCAAATACAAACATATATTTTCAGAATAAAAACGAAACATTCCGCAGAAAAATCCCGATGATCCAACTATCGACACGTGAATAATTTCGGTATGAAACATGATGTACATGACACATCACCTGGTATTCAGCAGTGTATCATACACTATTATGGAGACAACTGGTATCAAACATACAACGCCTTGATTATTGATAGAAGTGTATTAGTCGCTGACTATCGAAAATATACGGCCTATGCATACGCAGCCCGTAGGTGTGATCACTCGTTGAATTACGTAAACACAAAAATTCACTTCGTTGAAAAGCTCATTTTGAGATTTCACTGGTATCGCTGAGTTGTAATCAGTAGAGTTCAAGGTAATACATTGTGTCTTTACCGGACTCTACCACACATGCATCCATTTCATCTTGTGCTGTAGTGGACAAATGTTTACTTGATAATGTATAGCGTACCGCTGTAGTTGGCACGTGTATAGTCATACAGAGTTACCTCCTTAGTTACTGTATTGTAGAGACCTGGGTGCAGGTCATGCAATTATGCCAAATATGTGTTGTAAACTGGGCGCATAATTTCATAATATTATTGCTTATGTATACTCCAGCTATTCCGTGACAAAGCATTAGTGAGATCTCGGAGACTTTGTCTGATAGCAATCCTATATGCAGAGTTATGCGATGTTATGTGTATCAACTGATAGCCCCCGCCCCCCCTCTTTCTCTCTCACACATACACACACACCCTCGCCCCCTAAACTTGGATTATATCATCGAAATCGCTACTTATTCACGTGTTTGCCTGGTTTATTTGCGATTCAGCAACCAAAAGTGCCATTCCGTTTCAATTTGCAACACCTCTTACGACTGCTCGATGGCTGACAGGCACGTACGCTAAAACGCGTTCGACTATAGCAGATAGCGTATAGATGGTTGTATGTCTGCGAGCAATTCACAATCGCATCTGGTATCATTTGAAGGACTAATTCCTTGTCACCCTAACAACGTCTTTGTACCTGATCCAAGTTAGTACACTACGAGTGACTGCTTACTGGTGCATAGGTATTTATGCAGCTAAGTTTGAATGCTTTGTTTACTACTTGTGAACATACAATATATATCACAAGAGCGCATCGATAGCACCTATAGGCATAAGAATACAATAAAGATCATCCGAACACACCTGATTTAGTTGTTCAACTGCAATGTCGAGATGTGCTTTCGTGTCGATCTTACAGCGTATGGCAGCTTGCTATGCAATAAAAGCGGAATACTGTATCTTGTAACACGCGCGTTCTGACTTACTTGCGTGAATGTGATGAGTGCCTCAGAGGGTTGTATATTTATATATTATTGATGTGTGTATTTGTACATATACATATATATGTATAAATAGTAAAGCAACAGTGACACTTTCGTGTACACAGCCGCCACAGTATGTCTATGAGACTACGTATTTTTATAGAAAAATGTTTGTTTTTGAGCCAGACATATTTACTATAAAGTGCCACACTGAGCCCGCCAAAGTGTTTGTGACCATATTAGGCTACATCTACCTTAAAAGGCAGCTGAAGACTAGTGTCGCCTATCAAATGCCAATCCAGTACTCACAGTCACCGCTGAACGAGCTCACAGCCTTCGCATAGCTCCGATTGTATACATATGATGTGTATATACTAATGACACCAGAGGATTACCGATCAGCATGCGAAGTGGTTATTTAGGTGTTTTCTAACTTTAAAAATAGTTATATTCCTTTCTCTCTCGATAACAATCAGTTTGATATTCGCTTATCTGTCATCATAGTAGTGATATCTCCAATACCAACCAGTTCGAGAAGTGTGTGTGTTTTCAGTTAGTAAACCCTATATTAGAATAGTACCTTCATAAGCAATCCTTCCTCAGTACCAAACACTCTCAAATCAACAGGATGGCGAGACCGGAGAAAGAGGGGGTGACTGTATGGCCTAGCGTGATACACTACCTACACGACAACGATGCACAGATTGCACTCGTAATACTCAATTGGCCTATACTTAGCAAAGGGTTAGAGAAGCTGTGGGCACGGGCGTCTATTTGCGTGTGTGCTGACGGAGGTGCAAATAGACTTTACGATAGTCGGCCTAATGATAGAGAGAAGTTTATACCTACGGCGATAAAGGGCGATCTGGACTCGCTGAGGCCGGAAGTGAGAAAATTCTATGAGTCCCACGTATGTGATAGATATATGAATGCATGTATATACTATACTATCATATGATTATCTATTAATATACTTTGCACACTTATGCGACACTACTATATATATATATA